TATAACCACCTGAAGTGGTAAAATTTCTATGCCCGCCATGATCATATTCATGTATGATTGTGGACAAAGAATTGAAAACCCGTCCCATTGAATTTGCTCCATTCTCATTCCCTTAAGAGAATGTGATAGCAATATGTGATAAGTCCGAAAGAAGACAAAATTATTACTATGAATGTATCAATGGATATGGACGTGGCAATAGACGAAATTATAATCGTCATCATTTGTGGTAATGAGAATAATAAGGATTTTCAAAATAATCCTTCACTCTGTTAAAGTAATATTTGTCATCGATTTGACATGGGATTTTATAAAGCACATTTAGATAATTATGGTCCATTCATGATGTGAATGTGACAACATCTGATTTATGAATACATATTTATTCTTCAAAGAATATGAACGTGCTAGTGGTAGTGAATATACCACACTCACCTCTAGAAGGAGGTTTGAGATGATATAAGAAAATAATGTCATTATTATGGCATGAATGGTCATTGGTCACGTACCTATTGCACGCCAAAATATTTTAGCATTGTGATTGTTAAAAAACAACGGTAATGCAAGAAACAGATCTTGTATATAATTTTGACCATAACCATAATGGTATAACTTTCTCTTTGAAAGAGATATTCACCATATGGATGTTGATGAATATGTGGTACTACAAAATTAATTGAGAACTCTGCAAGAGCCAATTATACTATTTTGGAGAAACACAATTACCAATAAGGTATTGTGTTGTAGTAAGTCTCAAAGAAACTTATTCAGTTTCCAAAGTATACGCGAAAGCGGTTGATTATATTGAGACTATAAATAAAGGAAAGATTTAATATCTTCTATTACTACAACTTGTAGCGGGGTAATATGTATGTGAAAAGCTACCCGCTTTATTATTCAATTTGTACTACATAAACAAAAGAATACCACAATGAAGTGGATATTTATTGATATAAAAACCCATATCATAATAAACTTGGAGTTTATTCATAATTGCACACATCATGGTGTAAACCTGAAGTTTATCAATATTGATAATTTATCCAGTTGGCATAATTGGTTTAGCCATGTTAATTCAAGTATGATGTGCAAAAATAAAAGAGAATTCACATGGGTAAATATTAAAGAACTAGAAAGTTCTTTACGAATTCTCTTACATTGTTTGTTCTCATTAATTAATAGATCAATTAAACTTGGGATTGAATCCCATGAATGCTGGAAATATCAAAGGTGAATATGAGCCCATTCACCTGCCATGTATACCACATAAGATGCATCTATGAGATGGTTACATGTGCGATTATTAATAACCCGCAACATGGTATTTTGCGAGGTAACTTGCTCAGTAATTTAATTTCGAGCATGATTTCCAGATTTTCTTTTCAAGAAGTTCATCTTGATAAGTTGGTTTACATCACAGTTGGATTAGCAAAATGATTTATTAAGTGCCTCTACTTAATAGCTAAGCAATTGCTTATGAGAACAAAGTTATCTATATCAGTTTGATATACGTTATATATCAAAGTATATTATTTTCTCCCCTCACGAGTGGTTCAGGGTCAGGAACCAAATAATTCCATCTTATTATTATTGATGTGCGGTGTACATTTTGATTAACACCATAACGCACAAAGGTGGATTCTCAAAGTTGAGGTACCAAGTTAGTTTTTCTAACATGAGGGGGAGACATAATAAACAGTTGAGAAAAAGTTACATGGAATGAATTATTATTTATACATCTCGATCCTCGAATAAGATAATATGAACTTGAAGTTCATAAAGGATAATTCATGTGGAATATATTGCAAAGCATGTCGGACGCATTTGCTGACCCAAAGAAAGTAACTATATTCTCATTGCAAATGCTCCTATTAGAATAAGTCCTAGAAGGACAAAGTCTATGGTACGCTTAAAGCATATAGACAAATTGGTTTCAAATAAACTTCTTGATAAAGAAGATGAGAAAATGATCAAAATGATCATAATAAAGGAGGCAAGTGATCTAGAAGATTACATGACATAATACTTCATTAAATCTCAGGAGAGGTTGAGGTACCTGAAATGAATGAAGAGATCTCTATGTTATGTCTTTATGAAAAAATATTGAAACCGATATAAAATGTTCGTCGACGACATCTATGTTAGCGCTAAGTATAGATGAGGATCTTAAGTATGTCGAATATAGACACAAAAATACTGGCCAAATGAAAGAGACACAATTCGAATAGAATTTGTTTCATACGAAAGACATATAGTTTTGGACCTTCAGTTCAAACACTTGAAAGTATGAAGCCAATAATATGTGCAATCAGTTTTCGATATCTTATTTGTCTAGCATGACATGAAAACTTGATATGCATCTAATTAAAGTCTATTATATGACTTATATGACAATCCTTGAAGGATTTAAATCGCTTGAAGCATATACAATTCTTGATCTTGAAGTACTACTTCCTCAATGCAATTTGTGCACAAATGTATCTTGCTATAACTATATGCATGATAATATGATAGCAAGAGTTTTCACCTGTATGTGAAGATATTGAATTGAACATTCCAACAAGATCATATGAAGACAATCAATCTCTATCAAGAATGATGATTTCAAGGTGCAATATATTCATTCAAGTTAATATGGCTGATTTGTTTATCAAATCTCTACCAACGATCTCTGGAAGATGGTGCACAAGATTGGAATGCAAATGATTAAGGATGTGAAGTGATGCTCTCATGAGGGGGAATTAATACGCGTTGTACTCTTTTTCCCTTACAAGGTTTTGTCCCACCGGGTTTTCCTTGCAAGGTTTTTAACGAGGCAACCAAAAGGCGTATTGTTAGATATGTGTACTCTTTTTCCTTTTCTAGAATTTTTTTCCCATTGGGTTTTATTTTAGTTAAGGTTTTAACGAGACACATTATCTGTTGAATAGACATTCAAGGGGGAGTGTTATAAATAGAATTGTATTTATGGTGAATGTCTATATTTAGAGAGATTCTAGAGTTCATTGCTTGGTGGCTAAGTCACCCTCTCCCTATAAATAGAGGGTTCTATTATATTGTAATTCATCCCAAATCAATAAGAATTCTCTCTCTCTACTTTTCTCTGCAATATTCTTCTTCTTTTATTATTTCATAACAATTCTGGAATTTTTGCCGCTTAGGTTTCTTTCTTTTTTCGGAATGAGAAAGCATATATAAATCATTTTAATATGTCAAAACTCAAAAGGAATTGAGAAGTTATCGAATTTATCTTTCGGCTGATTATTTGACTGGATATAGCGAACTTCGGAGATATTAGATTTTCTCTCTATCGCATAATATTATTTGTTTTTTTCTATCAAAAGGAAAATATAGCAACAAAAGAAAGCTAGTTAGAAATCAAGCGAGGAAATGAAATCCTAAAACAGGCTCTTAACTAAAAGCCAAATTGACTTTTAACACTTGTCTATTTGGATATATTCGTTCCAACATTAAGAGATGAATGTACTTTTCTTTTGATACTCAGTACTTTCTTGTAACAACACATATTTTTGGGGAAAAACTTACCCATGCTCGTTGTTTCCTTCAGAACTATAAATTCATAACATAAGATCTTGTCATATAATCAAGGTCAAACTTACCCATGTTCGTTATTTCCATAAAAACCCAATAAATGCATGAAAAGCTTATCACTTATAGTCAAGGTTATAAATGCTAGCTTCCACTCCTGACTAGTTATATTATTTAACGGATTTATCTTGTATCCACTGATCACTGTGCGATTTTTTTTTACACAAAACATTGTAATTTAATACGTTATAGAATTACTAAGTATACTAATTATGAATAGCTATATTTAACAAATTATCATCTTTAAGGAGATTTAATAGTGTGTTTGGTTTACAGAAAATAAACCCTTAACCAACCAAACTGACAGTTAGGCCGAAACTGCACTGTTTCACCACTCCATTTACTCTAGCTAAATGTTATTCCTATAGTAGTTGATAAATTAACGTGCTATATTTATTGTACTACACTTCTATACTTTCATCTTATTAAAATTAGTAAACACGTTACCCAACCTCAACCACCAGCCTGGATAATTTATGTTCTGTGTCGATCGCTACAAAAGTGAATTATATGTAGTTTAATGTTTATATGGGTTAAATTGTTTAATCTAAAGGTTTTTTTTTTTTTTTTTTTGTATTCGACGAATTTAAAGGTGTTTTGGGATGCCTTTATAAAAATATAAAACTTCTAAAAAATGGTTTAGAAAATACAGTCCATGAAAGTATTTATTTTGCTTATTGTGTGTCTCACACAACTTACATTAGTTGTATAAGGCTCATTTTTGTCTCACAAATTTGTGGACCCCAATCTTACACTTCTGGGTCCACAAAAATCTGGGTCCACAAAACTGTGAGACAAAAAAATACCTCATACAACTAGTGTAAGTTGTATGAGACACACAATAAAATTTTCCCTAGTTTAGTTATGCTTTCTGCAACTTTATGGTTGTGAAGCTTGCGGTTTCCTTGACCATCAACCACAAATGAAAGTAACCGTCAAGGGTCGTGGTGGTACGAAGAGATCCCTACGCCTTTAATTAGAAGTTTCGGGTCAAGCAATGAAAATGAAAAAAAAACTAATATAAAACACTTCATAATTAATTGGAGGGCCCAAAGCGAGTACTAGATACAAGGTGGAAACAAAAAAAATCACACTGAACAATATAAAATGTGTTTCCTTACATAATGCGAAGAAGTCAAATATATGCACTCAGAAAAGATGAGAACGTTTCTTGACAATCTCTTATAAGAATTAAGAACTTTAGTCATGGTATTTTAAGAAATTTAATATCATACTTATTTTCGATTATTCCATTATATATAATGAAAATTAAAATTTCCGAAATCTCTCTAATCATCTTGATTTCTCTTTGGTATCAGTACGATTCGGTTAATTTTGGATATTTATTTTTAAAATGTCATGTAAAAATATGTCAAGAGTATTACTATATGTTTGTCGAGTGCAATTTGAGTATATACACATATTTCAACAGTATGAAGAAACTGAGTTTAAGAGTCCACAAAATTCTAGTTCTAAGAAGAAAAATCACAGCAGCAAAAAGGGAAGTGGAAGGAAAACATACTGAATAGACAAAGGAATTCAATTAAGTTTACAATCTTCTATGAATCCTTATGAAGTTGGTTGTATTCATTGCAATGGCTGTTGAGCAGGCATATATTCCAGCTAAACATAGTGATGTTGAAAGCAAAAGTAGGGCCTTCCACTGTCTTCCTGACACTAGAATTGCCAATGCAGTTGACACTAGAGCTACAACAGATAGAGCTTTTTTCCAAGTCTCAAAAGCTTTAACAACATTTCTGCAATCCTTGCAATGGACTACATGCCTGAAATATCTGTTGGCGGGATTCGGAGCATACATTCCACCTATTCCTCCCTTAGCTGGCTGAGCTGCCGAAATATTGGCAACGAAACCAGCAGGGGCGTGCTCGACAACAGCAGGTTGTTGGGGCAGGTAAATGGTGCTGTGACCAAAATGATAAGGCATTCCATGTCCAACTTTGTCCATCCACTTCCGGTACTCAGCTACCCATGTATCCGACGACTTTAGATTCAAGTACAATTTCTTAGTGGGAACCTTTTCTTTCATTAGGATTTCGTTTTGGGATGAAAGGAACCCCATATCTTGCTCAAAAACTTTGCCTGCATTCTGATGCAAGAACCAGTTTGGGATAAATTTAAGTATCCCAGTTCTTTTTCTTGTGTTTCCGAACCGGACAATAAGCATGGATTTTCCCTGACCAGATGGTCTACAAAGAAAAAGACCTGAAAAGTAATGCTTCTCCCCATTCTCATCAACAATTTCTCTGCTATTATGAAGAACACAAGGAGCTTCAAAACGTAAGAAGTTCGGTGTATAGTTTGCTTTGCCTTGATCTTTTTCCTTGCCCCACCATCCTGCGAACCCCCGGTTAGTCCTTTCTGTTACCTCGAAAAATAGTGGTCCAGCATCTTCCCTTTTTGCTGTAAAATCTGTCCTGTCGTGTGATATCGGGACATGAGCTGGGTCCATGAGGTTTTCCAGAAGAATAGAGTGGTCATAAGGGAGCTCATGAGTTGTAGAAATGTCTCGAAATCCTTCCCTTTCAAAGTTTTCAAACCAGGGGATTTTGTTAATATTAGGTGGTGTTCTTTGAGACATCCATATCCAAACTACTCCCTGGGAATCCCTAATTTCATATTTCTTGGCACAAGCTGATCGAGGAATTCTAGCATTTTCAGGTAGCTGGTTGGGACAAAATTAAAGATAGGGAATGAAAATGGAGTTTAACATTAGCGACATGAAACACAATGGAAGATGCATAAAACCAACCTGTGGTATCTTCACACATTTACCATCTCCTTCAAACTGCCAACCATGATACAAGCATTCCAGTTTGCCGTCGTACAGTTGTCCTTCAGAGAGTTTGGCTAATCTGAATGAAAAGGAATTTGTGGTCAGGATTCCAGAGTTAACTTTTTCGAAAAGCATAAAAGTCAAAACAGGCGATCTCGCAACAATCTGTAAGTCAGTTTAGCTGAATCATTGACTAATAGATAGACACTAGTTGAATCCTTAACCAATAGACAGACATAAGTTACATCCAGGCGAGGGAGAAAAACAGGAGTTCTGCCCAAATATAGAGATTATTTCCCACATTGTTAACAAATTTCGGGTGTATAACTTTTTTAATATTTTTAAGGCAACAGTTGATCGGTTGATGTAAATAGGCAGTATAGCTGCAGCTTCAGCAATGCAGTAGTGTATTCGTTGTGGACAATAAAATTCTGTGTCATGGCTTAACGAAAGAGGATTATCAAAGTGGATTTCTGGAAATCCACAGATAAAGTTACAAAGAGAAGCCTATGATTTCACCAACTTCATACTTGTGACGTGACACGACCCTTGCTACAGATTTTGAAGAATTAAAAAATAAAAGACTGACTTATATACTTCTTTGCTGTACCAGTCACAAGTTCAATACTACATTCCACAAATTTGATGCGTATCAATCTTCAATACTTCATTGGTCATCAAATGGATTCTTATTGCATTATCAAAAAAAGGAGGGGAAGAGCATTGATTCATTTTCACTCCTTTTGCTGCAACTCATATTTATGAGCGATAACTTTCTTCTAAGTATATTAGTAATTTAGTATGCCATGTTATAAGACTTTATGATAGCTATATCTACATGATCTAAGAAAAGTGCATCCTTTTATTCGCTCCAACTGATTCAAAGATCTAAAACCATAGGCATTCCAAGATTTCAGTGTATGTATTTCTTACATTCATCTTTGCAGATGACAGATATAGAAAGAGAAATTGCACACAGCTAAGTAGTAAGTAGACAACAACTGGAAAATTAATGCAGAAATGCAACCAACGGAAGGGGAGTGGACTAGTTTAAACAAGGCAGAACAATTTTATAAGAACCAGTTTTGTGGTAGACACTGGATGTCTGAGAAGGTGATAACACCTTTCGACGATATGCTATAGATAGAGAGGGAGCCAAACAGATTAATAAAATCTCCTTAGGAAGTCTACTAAATAGCGAAACCAAAAAGAAAGATGGAGGAGTGTTTGAAATTAGAGAATCAAATAGAGAGAAAACATTAAAAGAAATAAATGTCAAGCTTCAATCGTGAAGTAGACAATTTAATTGTACTAAAACACTACTCCTAGTAACTATCTTCTCTGTTGGACCATTTTAGCTTGGGATGTGGTTCTACTTGGGTTGTATCAACGGTATCAAAGCCACCCACCACCCTACGTGCCCACCGTGCCATGGATGGTGATGCCGGTATTAGCGCACAGCCATTGGAGACGATGGATGCAGAGCATGGTGGTTTGTTATGGTCCATTGCAACGTATGAAACTTGAGTCCCATATCAGTATTGCAATGTGCTGATGTGGAGTTTATATAACCTTGGGCTCTCCCATTTCCCCCTCGAACTAAGTTCCACGTGGCCCATTACCACGATTCAGAGGTCTCCCCCGTTCCATGTGGCTCATTACTACAATCTGTGAGACAATTTTCGAGATTCACTATGTGCCACCCAAAGATAATTTTAACATGGTGTGATATTGTCTGCTTTGGGCCAAGCCGACACAGTTTTCCCTAAAAGACCTCACACCATTAAGAGATCCCTACATCTCATATGTTGGCTCCCAACATTTCAGCTATCAATACGGGACTTTGTTCGCACACCCAACATTCTCCAATATGAGGTTCCTGACTGAGATGCTCACTATGACAAGGCAAGAATGGACCAGCAACTTGTCGTAACTCTGAAGGATGGGAGGACAAGTAGTAAAAGAGGAGAGTTACTATTAACTTTCCATGTTTTGTATAGTAAGTAAAAGTGAAGACAAGTAGCTGGGAATATGTTAGTGCAATTTACTTTAGGTCTTTCTAGGAGTTTTTTAGCCTATTAGATATTTTCATTAATGTTGGCCTGACATGAATCTAAACAGAAAAACATAATCTCTACGGATTCGTATAGCCGACCCCAATTTATTTTATTTTGTATACATAGTTCGAGCTGAAAACAAAGTTAGAACTCACTAAACTCACCCTCAGTGTACAATAAATCAGACACAAATACGGTTACCTATGTGGACATCGATCTTCAAAGCATCTGAGTTCACCACTGCCATCCTTGTACAAAACAACTTGTTTATCAAAGACAGTGAGACCCAAAGGTGCATCATCAGGAACATTCTTGGTCAAATACAGAGGATACCACTCTTCTGTCCAATCATAACCAACAATTTCCCTTTGTCCCCTCAATTCCTCTAAGCTTGAATTTTCCAAAAGCACACTTTGATCATCATTTTCAGATGAAGAGATCCCACCTCTTATATTCTCTGCAATTGCATAACAACTTAATCTCTCCTGTTTCTTCAACTGCTTGTTGTGAAGATAAAGATTGTGTTTTTGAGGTAGTTGTAGAGAAAGAATTGTGCTTCTTGTGGTCAATGTAGTTGGCAGTGACCTCTTTGAAGTTGAGTGGAGTAACTCAGAGAGAAATGGTTGCTGTAAAGCCATAGTTATTGGTGATTGGATGTTAATGGAGTGTGTGTTTGGGGAAGAGAGAATATGATATGTAGGTGGCAGAGAAGAAAAGGAGTGGGATGCATTAGAGACACATGTAGTAGCAGTGGAAATGTAGAAGACTAGTGTTGCTTCTTGTTCAGTCGAACCAATGATAGCCACACAAAATACAAGAAAGATTTTTCACAAATTAAATGCAAGTAAATTATGTCTCTGTCCCCCATATTTCCGCAAGGAATTTCCATTCTCATTTATTATACTTACCCTAATTAGTGAATTTTTTATTTATGAAAACTATTTTAATAATACTCAAAACATATGTATAAGATAATTAAAGATTTTAAAATGAATCAAGACTATATACAAAGAAAATTAAAAAAAAAAAAATTGGCTAGTGCAGGAAAAATATTACTCGAATTAATAAAGTAAGTGTTGAGTATTGAGATTTGTTAGGACCGAAAAAGTCAGGTGTCATGCGGAATTTAGAAAAGCAAATCTTGAACGACGATGAACCACACAACAAAAAGAAATCTACCAAAAGAGACACAAACATTTAACGTGGTCCGGTCAATTGACCTACGTACACGGCGGAGATGAGCAACCCATTATATAAAAGAGAGTACAAAATATCGAGAGAACAACCTCACGAAGAGGCAAACACAAGTGACACACTAACACTTTTCCCGTAAAGTTCTCCCCCTAAACACAACTCTCAAACCTCATATGGCTACATTGGGGATGCTACTGAATGACAAGGACGACTCTTCAATTTATAGAACTCTAAACCTTTTCCTACAAGAAAAGGGACTAGCGAAATATGGAAGAATTATATTTTCCTTCTAGGAAAAGAAAAACCCAATTATGGTAAATATGTTATCCTTTCCTTCATGAGATAAGAAAACCAAATATGGTAAGAAAATCAGGACAACACCTAACAAGATTTTGATGATTAACAAAGTTTGTTCAGATGAAATATTCTAAGAACCAGATCCTCAACGTAGCTACTTAACTGCTCTAAGAACCAAATCCTCAGGGGTAAGGACCAGCTCCTCAAGGTTAATGATTCTACGTCTTTGCAAGACAGTAACTTTATCTCAAAGTTACTCAGGCCGAGTTTGTTGGAAGAAGACTGCTAGACATGATAAGGGTTGCTGCCCAAGAAGATACGCATGCATAAGTGAGAGATAAGAGTCCCAAGACTTGTGGAGTCCTTGGAGCAGTAGGAGTCCTATCAAACGAGAAGCTGACTATGCATAGGACTCCTATAAGATCTCGGAGTCCAGAGAATTTAAATACTATCTTTGTGGACCGTTGGAATCATCCTTTTGCGCATGAAATGAAGAACTACATTTTCTATACTTAAGTCGAGTACTAGTGTTTTGTTCTTCTTGAGTCAGTCTAGTAATGTGTTTTAGAAAATTGAGCTGTAATCAAAGTATCATAAACAATTAGTGAGTTGGAGACTGTTTGTTTTACAAGTTAGAGTAACTTGTAAATCAAATAGCTGAAGTAGGAGTACTGGAGAATATTGAGTTATATGTTTGTAATCGATACTTTTGGCTCATTGTTCTAGTGAAGTTGAAGTTGAAAATCCTACATAGTAGGTCGCGGTTTTTGAACCTTTTGAGCCGGGTGATTTTCCATGTAAAAATTAATTAGTTAGGAGAATTGTTTAAAAGGGTCGTGTCTATATAAAGGGTAGTTTGATTGCTCGAGGACGAGCAATGGTTTAAGTTTGGGGTGTTGATGATAGGCTATAATTGCGTATTTTAGTCGCTTATTACACTCTAATTTACTGCACTTTAATTGAGTTTGAGCTTTAATCGCTAGTGTTTTGCACTAACTGTATTTTATGCCTTGTAGGAGTGATTCCGAGCTATATAGATGTTATGGAATGAATTCTAGTGATTTGGAGCTTTGAGTTCTCAGTAAAAACTCAAGTAATTAAGCCGGAATCGTCTTCGGGGGTCAAATTTGATAGTTAAGAACAAACGAAGACTCAAGTAGGCATATTGCGCACTGTCTAGTAAAATGTACATAACCTTTTGCTCAGAACTCCATTTGTGCTCCACAATATATGATTGGATAGCTAACTCAAAAGGCTACAACTTTTATGTTTTACGTTTTTCCAAATTTCAAACGGAATAGGGTGAAAAATGCTGCCTAAACCGCGACCGCGGACCTGGACGCGGGCTGAGGCAGTGCACTGGGAAAATACCGCGACCGCGAGCGTCCAGACCTGAAAGATTGTCGTTTTTCGCATAGGAGAAGGTGTAAGTGTTTGGGCCCGACCCTAATTGGTATATATACATGAAAAAAGGTATTTTAAGAGGTTGGACATACTTTTGACATAATTTAGACCTAAGGAGGCCAAGGAGACCGGAGATTTGACCTAAGGAGGCAAAAACACACTAGGAGCAAGGCGGAGAATTCTTCTACGAGTTTTTCCTTCCTCTTCCTATTTTTTTTATTGTTGGTTATGACTTTTAGTATTTTAGTTTTACATACTATTATGAATAGCTAATTTGTTATCTAGGATTTTAATCGAACCTTTTGTAGGATAAATTCTTGTTATGTTTTTATATAATTGAGCCGTTGGATTTCTCTACTTGTTTAACTACGTGTTTATTTCAGTTGATTGAATGGTCATCGATTGACTGTGCCTATTTATTATGTGTTGCTTGAGAAAGGATACATATTTACGTGGTTGTTAAACAACTTCACTCCTAATGTATGTGAGAAATCAATACAGCGGGTTTAAAGGCAGGTTTAGAAATAACAAAGCCTTGACGTGGTCATAATGAGTGGTTAGATAAAGCCAACTAGCGTAGTTCGAGAAAATATGTCTAGTAAATTGTTGTAGTTGCTCGAGAGAGAATTACGACACCTAAAGTGCTCACGATCAGTAGAGAATACATTGACAAAATTATAGGGAACATAGCTAGAAGGATTCCGACAATTGGGGAAATCATAACTCTAAACCTCCTTAATTTAGTCTCCAACCCTTTGTCTCGTTAGTTGATAATTTTACCGCTTTGTAGTATTTGCTAGTTAATTAGTTAGAAATATAAATCTCAATCTTTATAATTTAGAAAATTGTTCAAACTTGTCTTTTTTGGTGATATTAAACAAATATAGCTAAGCCTTAGTTCTCTGTGGGATTCGACTTTGGACTTTTAGACCGGATTATATTTGCAGCGATCGCTTATCCTTTTAGGACTAGAGTTGGGCGTGATCAAATTTTGGCGCCGTTGCCGGAGAACTAACGGTGTAGTTGTAGCTGTATATATTGCTAGGGTTCAAGTTTGAACTTTTACTTTGTTTTTTTTTTTTTGTATTTTTTATAACTGTTGATTTGAGAAACATGACATCTTGGAATTATGAAAATTTAGGTGTAGATAATTCTACTATTGATCTCCATACATATTGTGAAGGAAACCACCCGTGGCAAATTTTTCAAAACGTTCCTGAGAGCGAGTTATGTGCACCAACTCAATCTTATTTGTGGAATGTGTGTGATATGTGTGGTGGTAAAAATGGTCACTTTTATGGTTGTGCTTATATTTCTTATCTTCCCCCAACCCCTTACTATGATGGTTCTACCTTTTCTTGTGAAGTTAACAGGAACAAAGAACTTGGGGATGCAGACCTGAAGGAGATCGAGGATATGTTAAAGTGCCTTCTGAAATAACATAATGAAAAACAATTGCAGATAGAAAGGCAAGAGGCAACTATTCGCAAGTTGGAGGCTCAATTGAGTCAAGTGGTTGGAGCTTTTAATGCTCAACAAGCCAATATTGAGGATAGTAGCCAAGAAGAGCATGAATTTGAGGTGTTAATTGGGGAGGTCAGAGCAGAACATCAACAACCTAGCCAACTACAATTTCAGGATGTCAATGTTGAAGAAGTGAGACTAGAGTCAGCCAAGGACTTTGAGGATATAAATTTTGTTGACTCTAGTATCATTGATGTTGAGGATGTTGAAAGTCCTGAAGTTCATGTGTTTGAGCGCATTGGTCCACACTCCAAGCATTTTTCCACATTATGTTTGGATGATGATATGGAAATAGAGTCATCCGAACCAATTGAAGAGTCAAGGAATGAGGAACAAGGTGCATATATTCTGGAATTCTTCTTGCCAGAAAGTCAGGATAACATACCTCATACAAAGGCCAAGGAGTGCAGACTACTACATTATTTCCTTGGGCCAGTTAGATACGTTCCACCGCCCCATGACCATAATCATAAGCTTGAATCAAAACTTGGGGTTCAATTCATAAGCTCGAGGTGGAGGCAAAAAGTGATTCACGTCGTGTCGCGACGTTAAATCAAGCGCTTGTTGGAAGGCAACCCAGCTTTATTTTTATTTTTTTTAATTTAGTTTATTTTTTTTTTCTTATATTATTTTTGTAGTGTCGATTTTTTATTTTCTAGGAGCATGGAAAGCAAAGCTATTGGAAGGATGCAACAGCAAACCATTAGTTAGAACTAAGTGTGAGGTACCCGCACGAAAGACCAGGCCTGGGAGAAGTCTGAGTACCCCATGAGATTCTAGTGCTTCGGCCTTTGGCCTACCAGCGAGTTCCTTTTACCCTCTTGTATGTATGGGTGTACATTGGGAACAATGCACAATTTTAAGTGTGGGGTGAGGAGATTGTCTGGGTGACTTTCTATGCTATTTTAGTTGTGTTAGTTTAATTGAATAATTTTTTTTTTTAGAAAATTAGAAAAGATTGGACTTTTCCCGACGATGGATCTATTAGACAATTTTCTTGAGGGATTTAAGTCTAAAGAAAATAAACAAAAAGATTTTCTTTTGTTAGGTAGTGTAGCAATTCCCACTTGGTTTTTCTTTGTGCCGCGGTTCTTTTCCTAGGGTTTTGTTTGAACCGGGTGTAGTTAGTCTTTTTTTTTGGAATAGGAGCCATTGTGTTGTGTTTTGAAATGAAGCAATATCTCTTGACTTTGTTATGCCTTGAGAATAGTGAATACTTTGGTTGTGACGCTTAGGCTCAGTTTTTTACTCTTGTATAAGTACCTTAAATTGTATGATTTTAAAGTTGCTTAACTGCTTTGACTAGAGTGTCATGATGAATCCAATCCTGAGTGAGTTAAGTGCCATGTGTGTGTGAGGTTT